GAAGAAGTGAAGTGAATTTTAAAGCACTACTTCATAATATACAATATATCATGCTTCAATACTGTAAGGAAGTGCACCCTATTAGCCARGTTAATACCTAGACACTCATAGACACCAATAGGTTTAGAGATGCATCCATAGTTCCGACTCTCCTTAGTTACCGTTGCTATGTCCCACAAGCGCAACAAAATACCTGGAATATCTCAGAATTTAAAAGTCTGATTGTGTAAAATAAATAATAAATTGCTTCAATYGTTTCATATCCTGAGRAAATAAATTAAAATTGTTCCGTAATCCTTGTAGCTGTACTCTTCAAAACACATACATGTACGTACTGTGTAGTTGTTTGTAGGACAAGATGAAATCGGCAAAACAAGACTAAACACCTCATAGGTCTTCACAACGTAGCGCAAAAAATACCATGTTTTTTCTCTTTTTSGCGAGTTAATAGCGGTTGAAAAAGTTTATGATTCCAACTTTTGGAACCGAATCTATAGCACCGATAAGTGGTTTTCAAGATGATCCTCTGTTAAAAACGTACTTCGACAAGAGTTCGACATCTGAACTGGACCTGAGCAGAAATCCTAAAGTCAAGTTTTTTAGGAGTATCACGAACCCTTTTYCTTATTCAGCTTTTTTGACGTCTCATCTATCCAAACACTAAGGCGTGCAACAGATAGGTATGTCGGTAGAAAGGATAGATTTATTYGATTACACATCAAGAAGACGGAACTATAACCCAAAAGACTTTTATTAAATCGTGTTAAAATGAACGTTTATGGGCAAATGAAATTTGACTAAAATATAGTATCTTCAAAATATGACCAAAGTTGTAAAAATCCAAATGWGTTTTAAATACTTGCTTTCGCAGGCGATGGCTAAAGTTTGACCGCATCAATAGATGATATGAGAACTGTGCCAAGAGCGTACCTTCTTTCCATACTAGGCTCTTAACTACAATAACTTTGAAAGATAACTTCTACACCATACAATTCCTCTGGTCAATAAATATCTGTAAGTCGACTAAAAAATTGTGGTATTTCTATGCAATTGACTAAGAGTGATACCAGGGATTGAAATATCTGCTCGTAGATTGACATGATCGCAAGGTCGTTCTCACTTCTTCGTTTTCATCTACTCTTTTCTGAAAACCTWAATTTTTTTTACTATTTCTCATCAAAATAACAAAAAGTCACTAACTAGTAAGGCGGAGCTGGAAAATGTGTAAAAAGCCAAACTAAAAAAAGTTGCTCGAGGTTGTAATAGACCTTATGAACCTATAGAAATATAGCATAGGAAAGAATAAAAATGTAGAGCTTTTTTTAGATAGTTATTTCTGCACTGGAAATAACACTAAAATAGGTTGATAAATACTTGAGTTATTGTAAGAGCGCAAACAATTCCTTAAAATACTTCAAGAAAAGACAATTTGGACAAATGTAAAATCGTTAAATTAAAGAGTGAGCATTATTTGAAAGTATGTTCGTCAAGTCCTGCTTGTAAGGCCAGATCAGGAAGAGGCTTGGTAAATCCGTCGCGACCGTTCAAGAAATAGGTACAAATTGTGCCCTTGCCCTAAAAAAGGATATAAAAGTACAATAAAATAAGTACTGGTAGTATTAATCAGGTAATTAGTCCTATCAGAGAACAAGTGTTATATTTATCTTCTCTCCGTATGAAGAAGTTCAACATTACATACCTTCATACTAACTTCACCGCGTTCCTCAAGGTGGTATCCACCAAGTTCGTCTAATATCTGTTTACATTCAGGACTAACATGAATACGTAGAGCTGTAAAGTAATAATTGGTAGATAGATTTAACAGTGCTAACTGAATTTGTTGAGAATCTGCGCAAGATATTGCATAGCGTAAAATGCATATTTGATTGCATTGTTCTTACCTAACCCACTTGACTCAATTCGTGAAGCATAGTTAACAGTGTCTCCAAACAAGCAGTAGCGCGGCATCTTTAAACCAACAACTCCTGCTACACATGAACCTAAAATRATGCAATGACATTCAAATATTACTGGACAGTTAAAGACTTTATCCTTATTGTTTTTGCTAACTGAATCTGTAGGGAAAGAATGACAATTTTGTAAAAAACGATTAATCATTATTATTAGAGTATAATATGAATTTACCTGAGTGAATTCCAACACGGAGTTGGAGTTGTTGGTCAGGGAGATGGCGTATTCTGAAGTTTGACATACATGCCAGCAAATCGAGCGACATGTTAGCAATTTCACCGGCATGGCGGTTTGCATTTCTGTTGGGCAGGCCTGAGGCAACCATGTAGGCATCTCCAATTGTTTCAACCTAGAGAGCATCAAAAATAATTTATGCGATTAAAGATCCCATTTTGGGCTATTTTCAGTAGCCCGCTGTGTTAAACCGCTTCCCAAAACCCCCCCTATGTAGGGGAAGGGATGGGAAGCGGCTGTATATGTTTGATATCAGCAAATCAGGGTTCGAGGGATTCGTTCTACCCCTATACGAAAAATTTAACGACCTTAGTCGCACCGTTATCGTATTCAGCTAGCACAAAGACCCATAAAAATGAAAAGACGACTACTTTTAATTGATTAAAATGGCAGTGATCCTAAATATCTCTAAAATTTTTGTTTAAGAGTTTTGCATCAATAACTATACATTACAGCTATTTCTACCTTGTAGACATCATGCATATCGATAATATCGTCAAAAGCAGTGTACAAATCGTTGAGAAGATCAACCACCTACCAATAAGATTGCAAGTATGTAAGTACAATAATTTGCAAGTAACCTTTCCTAGCCTGCGTATGAGCCCGCTGAGCCGATCCTGTGGATTTGGGGCGGGAGCTTTCGTGCGCTCGCAGCTATGTTACATCATTAAAACATCCACAACTAGAAACCTCCAACTGAAATTAACTATGCTTAGAAAATCTTAGGTATGAAACTAAATCATAGTTGACCTTATTTTTCTTGGTTTCACATTTACTTACCTGAAGAGGGGTGCTCTGTGAAGCAAGTTTCGTGAAGCCCACGATGTCACTAAAGAAAATTGTGACCATGTCAAAAGTTTCGGCAGTAACAGGATGCCCTCGCTTGAGTTCTTCTGCTACACTCCTGTTGGTTTCAAAAATAGCTGCTTTTCATACAAATATTTGTCTTCTTTTCCTTTACCTCATTATACCGTCATCTTATGATATATAAGGAGAATATAGAAACCGCTGTTACTGATGACTTGGCATTCCAGTTGCATGAACAAGCGTAAGAACTTAAGTAAATCATAAAAGTAACGTTTTGCCGTCTATTTGGGTCGCTCAAAAAATTACATGTAAACGACACGAATATACAGGCAAGCCAAAAAGCAAAAGTTGATTGATAAGCATAGTTTAACTAGAAAACATTTTCTTTCTTTTGTCTTTCTTTTGTCTTTCTTTTTCTTTCTTTTTTTTTTTCTTTCTTTCTTTCTTTGTTTCTTTTGTTGTTGTTGTTGTTGTTGTTGCTTTTTTTGTTTTGATTCATTTATTATAGTAACAGCATAAGTCTAGCTTTTGGAACTAAATTATTTATGATTAACCTTGGCAACATCCTGAATAGCAGCTCATCTGTCTTTTTCTTCTCTTCCTGCAGTTCTTTGGTCCTTTCTGCTACGATATCCTCCAAATGATCTGTGTACTTTTCCATCATAGCAATCATGTTGTCCATGATATTGATTTCCCTTTAAATAACAATCAGTTTTGAAAATTACRCAAATACCTTTAGGATTGACGAAAATTATGTAAATCAAAGGTTTCAAAATTGTGTTTAACAAAAAGAACTAACTACCAAGAAAGCGGCATTGCATGGGTCATCTCAGCGCGGAAACGCTATTTTTACACAATTGGGTAAGTTTGTGTACTCAGTGTCCTTTTTTCCACTTACTTTCCCTTGTTCATCTGCTTGAGTGTTTTTAAGCATTCGCTGAACTTTGGTCGCACATGAGAGTTTTGGGCCCAACAGTTCTTCGCCATTTGAATATACAAAGGATGACCCACCAAATCAGCAGTAATACGAGGACGAAAGGGTGGCTCTTGTCCTTTGTGCACGCGTTCAACGATCGCTGAGAAACAAGGATTGAAAGTGTTACTGAAGTGTCTAAGTGGAGCAAAGGTTTAGAGTACAAATACTGATAAACATATTAGAACTAAAGTAAACGTACTTTTCTGGTCAAGATCTTTATACATGCTATACGGAAGCCCTCGACAAACGAGCTCTGACAAGATGATTCCATAGCCATAAATGTCTCCGGCTTGTGAGCATGGGATTTCCTCGTTGAAAATGTGTTCTGGAGCCGTCCACAAATTGTCTGGAAAAAAATGGAATTATTTTTAAAACAGCCATCAACCATAGTAAATCTTCTTGCTGAAACAAACAGTGAGTATAAAACTGGTRTGAACAGCGCCGGTGTAAAGACTTTAAAACGAAAAGAAGAAATTCCAATCGTTTCCCCTCTACATTTTTAAAAAGCTAGGACACGCAGCCTTACTTTAAAGCCTTGTGAGGACTATTGAGTGGTTAATAAGGATTACCGTAGTATTTGGCGTTGACTCCAGCTTCAACATCTTCTTGTTGGCCAGCCTTGAATAGCCTGAGATCGTGATCAGTTACTTTACATGTCCAACGGTTATCGATAACAACATTAGAAGACTTCAGGTTTCCGTGAACTTGTATTTGACTGTTGTGAAGGTAGTGCATTCCCTGAGAGATAAAAAGCCAATTAAAAATCCTTTTATGATCTATTCTGTAAACCACAGGAAAATTTAGGATACTTACTCTAGCTATATCTGAAGCAATAGCCAGCTGAAACATCCAATCCAGCTTAAGGTTATCGTTGTGTAATACGTCCTGCAATTTAAGGTAATCAGGTAATTTGAATGTATGAAAGATTTAGACCCACTGATGACTGAAAAGCATACCACTGAGCAAGCTTCATCAAGACATTTTTTATTTCGCTACATTTTTCTTACACTATTATTACCTGGAAAAAGCAGTCTTAGTTATTTTGTGCTTGAGTAACGGTACAGTTTCCGATGTTCTGGAAGAAAATCTACATACCTGCAAGCTTCCCTTGGCACAATAACCTTGGACAACACAGATGTTTGGTGATTCCACACATGCTCCAACAAAAGGGTTAACATTTTGGTGATGAAGATCTCGCATCTGGAGAAAGTTAGCAAGACATTGGTCAGCGTGCGGGCTTTGCTGATTATTTGCGTTGACGGGATATTCCATTTTTAACAAAACTAGTAAATAAGTTCCTAGCAAAAAACAATGGAAGCGAAAGCAACAACAACCATCGTGGCAGAATTCAAGTTCAAGGCAAAAGCAAGCAATAGCACATAAAGATCAACTATCTTACCTCTTTTAACTCCACTAGAATATCTCGCGTCAAATTCAAACTGGGCTTTAAGATCTGTTTGACTGCTACATAGTTACCCTGAAAATCAATATGTTGACCATATRTGAGCCCCGTCGTCCCTCTTATCCATGAATTACGTACTTCATTCTTTACTTGCCTCGTATGTTCCCAGTGTAGTGAAAACTTGGCCTTTGAGTTCTCCACCTTCGGACCCTGCTTCACCTCTTCCCACACTCATCTAAGTATATCGAAACAATATTTCTTTAAATATATATCCGTAAATGACCAACACTTTAGTGCGTGTGATAAAAAAACTGGATTGTTAGAGGGATTTCGATCGATTAGCTGGAGTGGTTAAAAATAAAAATGTAATAAAAGGTTATGATTACCATACTCCTCCTGCTACCAAATTGCTTCTTCGTTTGCGGCCATTTGATATCTTCATACTTGATTCGCCAGTGTTGCGCCAAAAGCTCAGCTTCAAAATGTTTCTTCCTGATAATTGGAAAACAAATAAACAGGAAAAAATTGTATAYTTTTTTGCAGTTTTCTTCTCTTTTTTCCCTCCGATTTTATTCTCTGTAATATATTTATTGTTTATCTTAATCAGCTGCCCATATGAAGATACTTTTGAGTCAATATTTCAGYTTACGAACGTACCTTTGCCACATAAGGAATCCTAGCAGCCCACCGACAGTTAGAACAAAAATGATCACTCCAACAAGGATGTAAGGCCATGTTGCGACTTCCTCTGTGTAAGGAAAAGAAAACCATTTTGTTTTAATAAGTGTTAGTACAGTTTGGGCTTATAAAATGTGAGGGGTAAATATATATAAACTTAAATTTTAGCCCATGACCAAGTGCGAGAACATTACCAATGGGAAAATAATGTCAATTTTAACCAGTTACAGTTGCAAGACACCGGCTTCGATCCTGTTAATTTATGAGCCTTTTTGAAAAACATGATTGGCTTTTTCTGTCATGATGTGCTAACTAAACATACCTACGACTTCCGGGGGGCAAAGCTCCCCATCAAAGCCACAAATTGGACGTCCAAGGGGTGCTGCGGTGCCTCCACCAGGCCAGATGACAGTTTCATTCAAGAGAAGGTACTGCTTCGTTGTTCCAAAAAAGTTTGCAAAACGTACGAAAGTAGAGTTCTTGCAAATCTGAAGCTGGTAGGAAGTGACCCGATCTCCATTGTTGTCGATGCCAAGTGGCCCGGTTTCACCTAAAAAATAATCATCAGCATAATATCACGTAAACGATCTAGATTTCCTATTGAAATTAAAAAGCAGGGGTAAGTATAGCATAGATATGTAGGGAGWATTTATCTTAACGACACTCACTAAAAAGGTGGCGGAAGTTTGCGTTACTTACCAAGAAACTCTAAGCCAAACATATTTTGAGTGATAGTCCTTCCATCTGTGTAGTTTCCACCTTGGTCCAATGTCTTGTTTAGAGCATGCGCGTACACCAAGACAGAATCGTGTAAAAAAGCGCTGTACATATTAACCTGTGAGTATAACCATGTGCAAAGTTAAATTTGTTGGGGAAAGGAAAATCCAGTATTCCATCTAAATGCCCATCTTTACATCCAACTGGAAAACACTTTACGCTTAAACTAAGTATACTCTATAGTCAGTTTTTGCGTTGCAACTTACATCACTTGGGGATGATAAATTGTATCCAACCTCAGGCATACGCCTCCAGACCTCGTATGTAAAGTTGTTGTACGCTTCTCCCTCTGGTATGTAGAAATTGATGTTTATGAGTCCTTTAAATGCTTCACATGCTTCTGTATCCCTTCCATCACTTCCTCCTTGACACGCGGAATATATATTTTCCATGCAAAGAAAAACGTAGGTGCCATCCAGCATACCGAGATCATAAGCTCCCAACATGATTTTTCTTATTGCAGCTCCATAGGCACTAATGAGAATCACTAAAAAGGACGATTAAAGCTTAGACAAAATTGTTTTAGGTAATGACGGAAAGCAAAGCAAAATCATATATAGGGTTTTGATAGAAACATACCGTGCGCCTTTTCTCTTGCAGTCTTTAGCATTGCTCGGATGGTGTAATCGCTTACAGAAGCAGGATCAAAGCTACCAAAATATGGAGCACTGAAGGAAGAGTTTCTTTCGAGGCCTGTTTTAAGGATGTTACAAGTTTGCGACCAGAGAGTTTCAGTAGTGCACAGGAGAGCTATACGATCCCAACCATACGCTGGGAGAAAAGCCTTGAAGAGATCAGACATGCCATGGAATGTTCCGACAGTCCTAACAAAGGTTGGGTACAAAGTTTTGTCCGAGAGAGCAGATGCTGCACAACCCCAGGCAACCATTGGCACGTTCCAGTGRTCTGCAATATGACCCCCTGGAAGGCAACCAACGGAACATCCTGGTCCGATGAAAGCATCAGCAACTGGCTGCTCCATGCGAAAATCTATCAAATTTGCAATAGAGTGCTTTTGGTCACACTTGCTGTCTTTCATGGCGTAAGTGAGGTTGTAACCTTGTAACCAGTATGGATCGTTGTTAACTTTGTCAATCGCAATGAGAACAGCAGAAGCCATTTTCGGGCCACCGGGCCAAGTACCCGTGAAGGGGACGTTGACTCCCAGTTTGATATCTATCATTCGTACTGTTTGTACGAATGTTGCAAGAACTAGTAGAGTCAGCAGGTTCATCTTCAAAGGTTTGAGGTGTTTGTGAAGAAGGTATATCTGTGCAATAGAGATAATTGTCATAAGTTTCATGTTTAATSAAATAGTTGGAATGTTTGCTAACACTTGAAATTTTTCTGAAAAATAACAAGCTCGATAATATTTTTAAGTATAAATAACAATGGGCAGAAAATGTTGGCATTTTCATGACTAATTTTTCAGTTAGCATTTTCATGACTAACTTTTCAGTTATTAATATAGTTTTTTCAAAGCTATACAGTAAAAACCTATTCYTAACTAAGGCTGTAATGGTTCTTATATAATTTGGTATCTGGTGAGAAATCAGGCTAAGTAGGTTTTTAACAGGTTCTTATTTCGAAGTCAAAAACAATTTTCTTCGAAATAGTRCTACTCAGTAAACGTACGATTTTTGAACAAATAAGTCCTAAACGAGGACGAGATGACCATTTGGTACGACCTAAAGCTGAGACACTCACAAATATCAAAATCTAAACTAAACAGTTTTACTCGTTAGTGGATGTAGTAAGATATAGTTCAAATATTAGAGTCCTTTGTTTTCGTCACCTTTCTTGATTTTAAACCACTGCTTACAGAAGCCAAGAATCCCGTTAAAATTTCCCTTTATTTCGAGTTGCAAAACAGAAAGTTTATCTGTGTGTCTTTTTAGCGTTTTGTAGACGTGCTGAACAACACAATCCTAATAGAGAAAAAACAGATATTTCTGCTGCTATTATTCTTGTTTGGATATGCAAGAAACGATATTGACCAAGGGAGATTTGTATAGCGACAAGTAAATTTTAATCTATAGACGGTACTTTTTAGCTTCATGATTTTTTTGATCTTTTTCGCTAAAAAGTTTTTTCACACTTTTTATGGCTTAGCTTTGAGTTCGTTGTCAGTTCATCTAACTCATAATTATTTTTGGCAAAACAAAGTTATTCCATTTTTCTCTTTTCCTTTTTTTGAGGTATGACAATTAACATTTCTTAAAAAATACTTCTCTGTAAAATAAGCTTACATTTTTAGTTGAACAGCCTCAACAAGCGAGGACAACGATCGAGGCACGTCCGAGTAATTTTACTTTTGACCATTTCAGTGGTACGAGCTAAACTGAGACATTCACTAATATCAACATCTAAACTTTACAATTTTACTTGTTAGAGGTTGCAGTAATATAGTACAACTACGAGGGTAATTTGTTATTATCACCTTTTCTTGATTTTACACCACCGTCTACAGAAGCCAAAAACTTCCCTTGATCTTGAGTTACACAGCACTGAGAAATATTTTCACTGTGTTTTAGCGGATTGTAAAGCAACGCAAACCTAAATAGAGAAAAGAGAAAAGAAACCAGTTATATTTCTGCAGCTATTAGTCATGTTTGCTGTTTGAATATGCAAGGAAAAATATTAACCACAAAAGTTGAAAGGTTTTGTTTTTTTCAACTGGGGAAACGTTTTGCTAAAATGCCAACAATGTTTGCGCTTTTAAAACAAATTGAAAAATTTTGAATGACCAAATTTTTATCAAAGTAATGTCTTTGACTTACCCCTTTTAAAATCCCCCAACCATGAAAGGTGAAATATAAATGAAAAGGGTTTAAAACGAAGATAATTTTTGACTTCCAGTGCAGATAAAGCAGCAAGAAAATGGAGCTACGATTTGTGCTTGTGTCAAAGCTACCACTGCCTTACCATTATAGTGTTGAACCAATGACGTCATTTGACATTGATGTGCACTTCTGATTGGCTGCTTTTGCTAAGCCTTTACTTGATTGGATGATTTTGGCGCCTTTTCAAGTTTGAGAATTTTCAACCAAAGGTAGCCAATAACGATTTTTTAATTAGGATGATTTGCTATATATAGTTTAATACACTGTAATTAAAATACAATGAATTTATAACTGCAACATTTCAAAATTTCTCCTCTCGTATAAGGAAACTCCTGACGAAGTCTCGAGGAAGGCTAATTTTTAATGATTTTATTGGTAAAAGTTTCTCATCTTGGTCATGTGACTGCAGACCACGTGCAGCAAGCAAGGCGAGGCTAGCTTACAGATGATAAAGCGAAGGTATAAATCAGGTATAGATCTTATATTTCAAGCGTTTTTAAAAAGTTTATTCGCTTGTCTTTCCAAAAATATTACGTTATAGTGATTTAGCTTAGTTGTTTATGTGTTTATAAGGGATATCTTTTTATGAATTCGCTTCAATTTATACAGAAAGGCGTTTGGGAAGCAATGCTTCGATCAAGTCTGCATTCATAAGCTCATGTTCCGTGGTTCGTCGTGGTTTGTGGCAGAGGAAGTGAGTAGTATTTTAATGAGCTTACTCTTATACTTTACAGTCCAAAACTTTATCAAAGCATTTTTCTTATTTTTCTTAGTCTGTAGTAGTGGAAAGGAATACCATATTTCATACACCTTTGAATTAATTGATTCATATGATCAATCTGAGCAATGCAAAGCAGTCAGGTTAGCCCACAAGGTGGGGGGAAAATCGGAAAAATATCCCCTTTACGTATTTCACAAGATTGAATTATCGTTTGGAAATACTTATATTGTTTAATTCTGGAAGTAGTTTTCGCCAAAAGTTTATAAAATGTTATATCMTATGAAGGGGATAGAATATTTTTATAACCGTCTTGCAGCTTTAAMACATCAACTTTTGATTGGATCAATAATAATAAAAAGTTTATTTAAGCTTATTTATTTATTTTAACGAAATTTAAATAGTATTTACAACTATATATACAATCTTTGGGTCATTTTTCTATTCACATTTACATCCTGGGCATGATGGATGTTGTCTAATTTGTACACTTTGGGTGATCTTTTTACTTGAGGATTCTTGTGACTGGGACATGGTTGATTCTGGTGATATCTTTATAGTTCGAACCTGAAAATATAGAAAAAATTTGATTTGATAAATAGACCTAATCCGCGTCTTGGTGCAGTGTTTAGCCATTTCAGGTAACGTGTCATTCCCTAGATAATCCTTTTTTTTTTTTTTTCCAACCCTAATAAAGAATTGATACTCTTGGGAATGACACGTGATCTGAAATGGATAAACATTTTACCGAGAAGAATTCGGTCTATCGATCCACTTTTAACTCGATTTGAAATACTTTCTRTCTTTGACTTAAGTTGCCTTTCCTTTCCTTTTAGTTGTAGTTTTTTCTTTCACTTCCTTTTTCTCCTTTTCCCTTTCTTTCTATTTTCCCTATTTTCATTTTTTCTTCGTTTCTCTTCAAATTTATTTAGAAATTATGGGATGAAACTGTATATCATTTCATTTTTTGTCAYGTACTTCTATTAATGATGGTTCCATATTTTCAAGTTCAATATATCGATTTAAAAAGGCTGGAGGCCCAGGAGAGAGAGAGAACATGAGAGGGTGGGGGGGGGGAGTAAGGTTTTCTCTTACCTTGGGTCCAAAAACAAGAACCAGAGTAGAAGTAGTACAAATATTAATAGCACAAGAAATAAGTCCGAACTCTGAATTTACATTGGTATAGGTGACCCATTCACTTAAAGGCACAGTTATACACGCCCAGACCACCACGTTGTAGACGCTCATTCCAATATAACGCGAGTCGTTCAGCGCCCGAAACGTTACGTTCCGTGTTTCCCAGGCCAGAAATAATCCAAATATCAGTRAGAAAGCTTTACAGGCATAGAGGCTTGTAATCCAAATTGCGTATTTATCACAGGTACAAGTGAGAGCCACATAAGAAATAATCCTTTGATTGTCTTCATCTTTCTGTGGAGATTACAAAAAAAAAAAAAAAAAAGCGGGTAGGAAAGAATTTCAGATTTTGCTCGAATTTCAGAGCCTATATTCTTTTTGGTTCCTGTCATGAAAAGGGACTTTATTCAAATCCAAGAARAAGGACTGATCTTTTTTGCTAATTTGGTAGGGAAATTTTCATTGAACCAGCATATTCTATGGTTTTTGAATTGGAGAAAAGGGTCATTATATAAAATTAAAGTAATTAGAAAGCAAAAGAAAGGAAGGAAGAAAAGAGAGGGAACGAAGTAAGAGAAGAGATTGAGCCCTGTAGTATTAAATGTTGTATAAAAACATCTTATCTTACTTTCGTTATATCTCTTTGAACAACTGCTTTCAGTGGATCAAGGATTTGCCAAACCGATAAGATTACAAAATCCACACAGAGAAAGATGACAAGCAGGATAACAAGATGGCGGTCGTAAAGATGGCCAAGCTAAGGATTATAAAACAAAAGTAATTATCGAGAATATTATTAACATTTATTTTTATTTATTTGTTCATCCATCCATCCATCCATCCATCCATCCATCCATCCATCCAACCATCCATCCATCCATCCATTCATCCATCCATCCATCCATCCATGCATTTAATTAATTAATTATTCATTCATTCATTCATTCATTCATTCGTTTGTTTGTTTGTTTGTTTGTTTAGTAACATAAAATCATCTGCTCATCACCTCTTTGTTGAGCTTAGTATTAGTAAAGATTTTGTAGACTCTCCAGGTTTTGACAAACATTGTACCAAAACCTAAAGTAAATCCACATGCAGTTAACCATGTTCGAACCTGGAACGACAACCAAAATGTTGGTTATTATTGTTCTCTCTAAATGGAAGAAGTCACAAAAACCTAGAATTGGAATTAGCTATTGAATTTTAATTTTGATCCTCTTTCCAACCCTCGCTCCAACCCTCATTTCAAGATCTCAAGAGGTCACTTCAAAGGGGGTAGGTTGGATGTAGTAGAATTAAAGGTAGGCCCTGATAGTCTAAGATCGACTAGAATGCCTGAACTAGCGCTTTTTGAATTAAAATTAAATCATCAACAATTAATTATGAGAAAATCCTTCACTATTACCCCAACTCATTCACAACGATCTCAAGAGGTCCGAGGGGGGTAGGATTGAATGTAGTAGAGTAAAAGGTAGGCCCTGATGGTCTAAAATGGTGTAGCATCCTTGAACTAGCGCTTTTTGACTCAAAATTTAAAACTCTTAAATATAGCTGAGCCCCTCAAAAATCCCCACCCAATCCTATAGAGGTTTTGCACCATCATGTGCCCATCCCATAATACTGTTTGGGCTTCCTGTGGTTAGATGGCAGACCAATAAAATCCCTTTGTTCTTGGTAATTTTATCCTTTCTCATGTAAGGCCCCGTCCACACGTATCCGGAATTTTTTGTATCCGCAAACTTTTTTTTGCGGATACGGGTTGCGTCCACACGTGTCCGCAAATTTTACGAAAACGGATACGTGTGGACGGTGAAAACGATTCGAATACGATGCGTGTGGACGCAAACATTTTCGTATCCGCAAAMAATAATTTGCGGATACAAAAATTTCCGGRTACGTGTGGACGGGGCCTAAAACGACTGTATTGTTCCTGCCATCTAACATGGCTGCCGTCACGTGGTGGTGCAAAACCTCTATTCTTCCACCCCCAGATTAATAATTGATCTTTGGTTTACATTCCTAACATTTGTCCCCAGTTCTTTTATATATACTTACTACGCATGTCCATTTATAGATAGCCGTTTGTGATTGGTCAAGAAATGCAGCTGATCCATGAAGGAAGACACAGATGTAACACATCAGTGAACCAATGATAATGAGATTATTGAAGTGAGGTGAGGACATTCTAATAAAGCTGTACACAATATACCACGATAAAAAAACTTTTTTACATACAGGGGAGCATTTATTTTTCGGGTACCGGTTGTACGAAGGGTGAATAGCGCTATCCGACAGTTATTGGATAACGGGCATTATCGAATTATCCACTGGATAAGGATTTATCCGTTGGGTAGCGCAATCCACCCTTCGTACAACCGGGCCCAGGAGACCAGGGGGCAGTGAAATGAAGGAAGGGTCCTCAAGTTTACACAGTCGAGAAGGAGCATCCGAGGCTGAAACGTTTGAAACGTAAAGTCACTTGAGTATAATCGACTACCTACAGCCATCCCATCAAAGGAATATTCAAGAAAACCCTTGTAGAGAGATAGCTGCAAACGAGGCTAGGTTCTAACTCTCTCCCAGCCTCTTTCACTTTCTGATCTTTCTCATGACCACTTTCTTAGTTAAGATTACRACATAGGTCTTGCACCATCACGCGCCGGCGRCCATAATACAGCTTGGGCTGCCTGTGGTTAGAAGGCAGAACAATAAAATCCCTTTGCTCTAGATAATTGAATACGATTGTATTGTTCCCATCTAACATGGCTGCCGTCACGTGATGGTGCAAAACCTCAAGAATAACAAAGTTGAGAAAAAGAATATTATAAAGAGCATAAACGAACCTGTTTTTTCGATGTTTGATGTTAAATACAAGAAACCCACACGCCAAACTAATTCCAAGGCACGTCACTGTTGCCATGACAATGAAGAGCGTCTTATTGATCTTTTCTATGACTTCGAGTGATTCTAGGTCGCTCGTTGGAATCTTGCCGTCTTTGGATTAAAACGAACGTACATTAAAACGGGAGATAAACCCTCAAAACACATGTTTTCTTCGTGGTACATTTTTAAAAACAGCTATTCATTAAACCGGAAGTCCAGAAGACATAACGCATGCACTGTGAAATTTATAAGAAATCTTGGTCAATTTGGTGGATTGTGCTAGAGTCTTCGTTTCTCGGTGATAACCAGAAGAAACGCAGGCTCTGGGGACGAAATTGAGCGGTACGCATCATTAATARATTAAAGGCGCGCGCGCAATCCTAACTTCACTTGCAGGTAATAATAGAAAGTTAGTATAATTTTAGACTTGAATATAGAATTCGCGTGCTGTGATTGATCGAGCGATCAGTGATTAAGAGACGACATTCCCTGCTCGAGCGGTGATAATGGGGTTTTCCAAAGTTTGCTATAGCGGAAGTAATGCTAAAATGTTAATCCTTAATTTCGTCTAAAAGTCTAAAATTATACTAAAAAAGACTCGGGACTTGACTATAAATATTCACCAATAATCACTYCCCCTTCGGCAAATAATTGTTAACCAGTCCGAATTTCTCGACCAATCAGCGCGCGCGATTTTCTATAATCCCCTGGGTATTGATTTTCAAAATCAAAATCACGTTGAGTCTGAATTTTCTTTTACACATAACATCATGGCCGCCATCTTGGTTAAATTTAATGAAAGAATTGTCAATGAATTCTTTTGTTGTATCAYCCAACATGGCCGCCTTGTCTATTGTTATTGCGCTCCCTTGGGAATGGTCGAAAACCAGCTATACCTGGCCACAGAAAATCAGCATTACCTGGCCACAGAAAACCAGCTATACCTGGCCACAGAAAACCAGCTATACCTGGCCACAGAAAACCAGCATTACCTGGCAACAGAAAACCAGCATTTACCTGGCCACAGAAAACTCCCGTTCAGCTTGATAGACTGAATTTGCGGCTCGTTAAACGTGGAGTCAAAAATTCCAAGTTTAACTTCATCCTCTCCCTGTAGCTGTTCGATCCAGAGCTTGTTTATTCTGTCTCCATTGTCTTCAAAGGTGACTAAACCCTTCAAAGAAATTGAAAAATTTTTGATGATCAGATTTTACATTGGTTAAATATAAGTCTTGGCTAATCAGTAGGTTTCCATTTACCATTACCACACGACAGCCATATTGACCCGAACAATTAGATTTCCCCCCGCGTGGCCTCACATTCAAGAGCTTCAGGATGAGGTTACGCCATTTCTYCTTCTAAAGCACACGGCAGGGCCATTTCGCAAGAATATCCAAAATTGCCCACACTGTTCTCTCGCCTCCCACTCTCACACACACACTACACACACACACACTTCACACACACACACACTTCACACACACACACACACACACACACACACATACCTCCCTACCAACTTCAAATATTTTGGACAAAAAGGGTTGTGTCCCTTATCAAATCCCACTTACCGACATTCCCGTAAAACTAGTATTAGCCACCATTCTATGAATCAGCATCGATATTTCTTTGTTTTCATAGTCGAAGTCGTTCAGTGTCTGATTCCTACTGGCGAGTATGGTGGCAGCTTTGTCCAAGGCGAGTGCTACTGTCCATAGCGTGTCGTAACCGTAAGGTGCGTAACTGTTTATTGGCAATGACATGTTTCTAGCTTTAAGGAGATACATTGAATGCAGCTGTGAGGGCGTCTGGAATAGCAGATCAAATATTGTCAGTAATACGCAGAAAATACTGTCTTAATATTGCGGACATCATGGGCGGTGTAGCAGTATGCATTTGCCTCTCAAATTCGAATCCAGGACTCGCCATCTCATGTAGTAGAGTTTGGTAGGTCTCTCTCTTGATTCGAGGGTTTTTCTCCTGTATTCTTCCCTCCAAAAACCCTGACAAGCTATAAATTTCAATTTTATTTGTGACTTGACCCATGTGACCCCCTTTTAAAATGTCCATTATTTATCATTCTCGTGACCTACCAGTCCAGATATAGTCTTGTTTTCATCTGTGCTAAGGAAGATTTCTTCCAAACCTATGTAATTTCCTGTGGCTTTTCGTAGTTGGTCGCCCGTACAACCATCACCCGTCACATTCCACCATTTGTCATCGTACCATCCTCTTAGCAGCCATTGAATGTGTTTGCCGTACAGACCAAGCTTGAATGCCTAGTGTATAAAACATTTARTATATAGTGAATCGCAAATCATGTTGGGTGCGTCTGTGTGATATTAACCAGAGTGTGGCGCAGCCTTGAAACAACCTCTTTGATGATCAGAGTCAAGGCATYGCTAACTCAAAAAAGCAATTGGAATTTAGCTCGTTAGGGTTTCCGGAGGATGGAAACCGGAAAAACCTGGTWAAAAAAATTGAAATCAAGCGAGAGACCTAACCTAACTCTATCCTCATATACTTCCGAGTCTCATGAATCGATTCTGAGACCCCAGAGATGAGTCTGAGACCAGCGCACTACCACTACGCTGCATTAGCCTTTCTTAGGTTGAGAGGAAAACTGGGCCGAGTTGGAGTTGCAGTGTATTTTGGGACTGTTTTAGGGGACATTTTCCAAGATTGCGTCTATTTACGTCTCCTAAAAGAGTCACAATGCGCTGCAAGRCCAACTCGAACCAGGTTTTCTCTCAACTTTGGAATGGCTAATGCACCTTTGATTACCTTGCAACTTACATCGAGGCTTTGTATTTCGTTAAACTTTGTTTTAWTTCATGTGTTTTCTCATGAAAATATCCGTACGCAATATGGCAACCTTTTTTATGAACATTAATGATCCTTTCTAACTGGAACATGGTAATATTACCTCACACATCAGCTTGCGGCATTTTCCTTCATAAGCCAATGCGATGATAATCCTGGCGTCTTTTTCCTTTGAAAAAACAATAGTACAGCAAAACCTCTATTAAGCGACCACCTATTAAATGACCAACCTCTATTTACCGACCAGTTGTCAAAGTTTCTGAGAGCTCTTCTACAGTAAGACCTCTATAAAACGACCAACCTCTTTTTACCGACCCGTTGTCAAAGTCCCAAAGAGGCTTTTTTGCAGTAATCACAGTTATACCTCTATTTAGCAGTCAACTTCTGTTTACCGCACACTCGACAATTCCCCGAGGGTGGCCGCTTTGCGACTTGTTACTAAATTTCCTGGTCAAAATTGACCATTTTCCAAGGAGTAAAATAAATTTTTAGGAAAGGGTTGGGGAAGATATAGACACAAACTCCATTTTCTCACCAGCATGCCCTGCACTGCATTCCTAGGGTTGTTTACGAAGCTGGTGGTAGAAATGATAGTTATGTTGCTTTGTCTGAGAAGTTCATGGAGATCTTCGTGTACCTTTAGGGGGRAAAATAAATTATTTTATTGGCAAATCTAATATTTTTGTAGAATTTGATATTGACACAAATTGCTCGCTTTTATGTGCTACACTTGGCGTAGAAATACAGAGGGAGGCCTTCACTGATCATCAGCAAGACTGAAGGATGGGAGGAAAATGGGCAGATGGACAGACTCACACTGACAAAGTAACTGATAGCTCCCGATAGAAAGACACACTACACAGAAACAGAGTGACAGACGAAAAGACAGACAGAAGCTGGCAAACCATCCCAGATAGCTTCCGATTGACAGACACAGACGTCTGACGGACGGACAGATAAAAAGACACAGACTGACTAATCCACGGACAAACATACATAGACTGACAGACCGGCTCAGACTAACGCAGGGACGGACAGACGGACAGACAGACAGACAGACAGACAGACAGACAGACAAACCTAAGAGTGCAAATATAAACCTTCAACAACAACAAAACAGATTATTCTGATAATTTTCTCTCAATACTAACGTCATTAAAGACTGGCACATCTTCCTTGACGATGGCTACTTTTGTCCACTTAAAGTACTTGCACAGAGCAACAATACCCAGGTTAGGTACGGTCTCTGGCGAATTGACCCTGTAGAACAGTGGAAAACGAGTCTTGTCTGATAACCGTGGTGTGCCAGCGCTGTATGCGACCTTCAAACAGAAATAGCAGTGTTACTAGAATGCTCKCACAGAATCTGTTAAACAGTACTAAATTTGTCTTGCACCAAAAAGTGCCAAATAATGTAATGTCTATTGTTTAGTAGTGCTATATTWAGTACACAGCAGATTAGTGCTAATTACAAAGTGTGCTGTTTTGGGACCAGGGATGTAGGGGGTATGGGTTATAGGGGATACATTGTATCACTTTCCCGCCAAARCACACGYGTTTCATCACACGCGAGTCTCCCGCCATATCGACAACCTRTGTAKAGCTTTTTGGGCGACTCCCCTCCCTCCTCGCTACGCCAYTGTTCAGAATCTTGCTTTGCCATGGTGCTCGCTTAAATTGCGGTTTGCTTTRAAGTCAACGCRTGTTCGTGAAGATAGTTTCGGACCTTGCAACTAGCTGTGYCCACTGAATGAGCGGTCSGCTTAATACAGGACATTGGAATTCTCAGTCCTTTTAAGGACATCTAMAAGGACATTTAAAAGGACATGTCTATACCACTGATCCCTCTTTATTCCGAACACATTTTTTCTGGTCATTCGGTGTCCGTATCGTAGAAGTTCAACTCTATCACTCTAGATAATGGAAAATGCTACTTTTACTGACCAAGTTTTTTGCTTCRTTCAGGTAGCTGCATTAAGAGATGAAATACGGATGAGGATGGCTGACTAGGCCGAAARCTCGGATCATATTTTTTAAATCTATGGTTGATAAAACAAACTATTATGAAATACAGATGGCATGGAGGAGTCAAGGTTTCTTTTTACTAACCTGAACAAGATTCCAAAAATGAGCAGCGTCCGCCACAGGTTCGGCTGAAATCGAACACCCAGGGCCAATGATGACAATCTTCTTGTTTGGAGACGTAATCTGCTCCACAAAGGCTTTGATACTGTATGCATACGAACACTGAAAAAGTAAAAATGCAAAGATAGACGTCCTTCAAAACTCAGTCTACCATAACCTGAGTCAGTGGTCATGGAAAGACACTCACTTAGTGTCGTTGATCACTTTGGTAATTGCAGTTGGCTTCTTGCAACATAAGGTATGGAAAAAAACTTAACATTTCTAATGCTCATAATTTAATCTCCAGTTTACTGGAGCTGTCTCAATATGATCTCAGTTCTCGTCTTGTTTCACTTGGTAGCTGTTAGTTTAACCCCAGGGGCCTGGAGARGGGGGKAGGGGGGGAGGGGAGTGGTACTCCGATTGGAAAAGGACGGGGATGCTGGTCCGTATCTTTTAGGGTTTTAAATATATATGATTTGGTACTTCTTAGGGTATCACAAAATTAAAATGACCACCAGAGAAAAAAGAGCATCTCCGCCCTTCTTTATATGGGAATATCCCCCCCCCCCTCCCCCCCCTCCATCACCCTTTTATTTATTTATATATATTTTGGTGGGGGTGGGGGGTGGGGATTTCTTAGAGAACTAGCCAAAAGCGGCCAGAAAACAATTATTCAAATAATCTATTTTTATCAGTTATTCTCAAGAGTTTCGAAAAAAAKAATTTGACATTCATAAAAACATTTTCATGTATTTTAAATTTTTTAGTCTTTTAATTTTCCTTTAAATTTAAAAAATTCTTAACATTGTATGATAGACAATAACTTGCCGGTGTTTTGAGCCTGAAATAATAAAAAAACCCTATTGTTTCTCGTTAGAAAATTCAATTTGCCTAAAGCTATGTATTTTTTAAATCGAAAATAATTAAAATTTATCATAGTCTGATAAAGAATAACATGCATGAGATTTGAGCGTTAAGCTTCCTTATTTAGATATTTCTTAAGATTGCGCGAGTATGTTTATAAACAACTATAAGCTRAATCAATTCTTCTTCAAAAGCTTTGTTTTAACCTTCATGATCGAACAACATCGGCAAGACCGACATGAATATTTTGAAATTACCGATATCCCGCAGGAAATCAATAATATAGATTCCCGAAAGATATAAAASAATAAAAAACCTGTCGTTTCTCGTTAGAAAATTCAATTTACGTTTTTGCCTCAAGCTGTCATATTTTGTGAAAATAAAACTATATCCTGAAGTGTGTTGACGTTTGCTAACACCTGTTTGAGGATAAACATCTATATAATCGTTGGATTTCAGTGATATCTTGATCGATCGATGACTTCTAATCAATTCCGGTCCGTTTTTGTCAATCTTTAATCACGAAGTTTGGACTTTTCTTCAGTGTCTAAATCTAGATTTTTTTTAAAATAGTGTTTTATTTTGGTTTTTTCCCTGGAGTTTTTGGGTGATTTGTTTTTCAAGTTTGGATATTTAAAAAGATAGTTTAATTCAACTAATAGAGTTTGGAACTTTTTATTTTGTATTCTTTCTAGAAAATAAAATCGATCCAACTTTTGCCCCAATGAATATTAAAAATATAATTCAGAACACCAATAGCCACACCATGTCCTGCTGTTCTGTTGGGCGCCCTGTCCTTTTTACATAGAAGTTGGGTATGTCTCATGCCTAAGTACAAGTCCGCTTTAAATTACCCTTTCTCACCAGGCGATACCAAAGCCATAGTTACCACTAGCAGTACTAGTAGTAGCACTACCTTCATGTAAACAGAAACTCATTTGCTAGAATTTTTAGAAAAGCTTCCTTCCTTTCTAGTTCAAGTTCTTTGGGTAATTAGTCGTATCCATCAAGAGTTTTCAAAATTGTTTTTTTACAGTTATGGAAATGAATTTCTCTCTAGTGCTTTCCTCTCCATATCGTCCTTTCCCGCCTACACTTGACATAATTTGATTCAATCTCATTCAGTATGTGTATTTTACAAACTACTTTTCGTTCTACATAAAGACCGAAAATAAAATAYCGCGGGCACCTGCACACTATTAAAACTCAATAAGTAGGGATAAAAAGGACAAGAACAAGTTATAGTTTTAATTAAATTTCTGAGTGAACCAACAAAAATTGCGATCTCATCACCTTGACCCATACTTTTGTCAACAAATTTGCTAAAACAAATCAGATAAGTATTGATGGCGTTTAAAATAGTTTTCGAAGTGACATATAGTGTTATTCCCGGTTTCAATTCTGTCAGAAGAATCTTCTATTCAATATGAGCAAAATTTCTTCACTGAGTTGAACCTAATAAGTCTTAAAAGCAGATTTTTCTTTCTCTTTGAGGCAAGGACTAGAAGAGAGTGAATACTGAGAAAGAAGAATTTCTTTGAATAGATAAATAGATTGATCTTAGCTTAATTTATTTCCACTTAGTAGTTAAGAAATAATTCGCAAAAACATACTTAGTTCAAATGAATATAATATTATTCATTACTTCGGTATATTCTATTACTCTGTTTGCGAATTAGTTGATTCTAATTTCAGTTAGGACGATAAATTTTACAACTGTTATGTTCGTTTAGGTTTTAGTTTTCGTAGTTAGGACATCGTAGGCTACTTGATTGATATCCTTGAATCTTGCACTTTCAAAAAATCTTAATTCTAAATGGCATATTTTTTCAATTTAAGATCAAAAACATAAGCGTCTTAAGTGTTTAAATTCTAACAGACAAATGATATAAATATAATGTTCCTTTGGGAACTGAATTTCTAATATTAATGTTATAACGTTTTAAAACTAGCAAAAAAGTTATTTGTTTTACCAATAAAAAAATCTTTAGTCTTTCGTAAACGAGTTAAATATCAAGGAACAAAAATTAGTACCTTGGAGTCTTTGACATTCACTTCGAGTTTGATTCCTCGAAGCAGGTTTGGATTTTGGTTGATGTGATCCTTTGCTAGCTCAACAGCAGGCCATATTCCCGCACTATTCCATCCACCATTGGTCGTATTAACATCTATAAACCCTCCGATATAGATTGGCATGTTGGCACAATTATAAAGGCCGAAGCATAGCGTAATAACGAATGCAGAGACGCATATATTGTCCATCTTCAAGCTCCTTGAAAGTTTTTTGATCACATCTGAAGGCAGTACGGCTTTTATGGTCTTCACGAAACACACCTGTTGGAGAAACAAGTTCGCAAAGTTTATTCTAGTTGAATAGGCAAGGCYAGTATGACTTCAAATGGCATGTGAATCGTCCCTCTACGATCCGTTTGAATAGAACACTGAAGATCGTACGTCATGTTTTCTTTTTTCAAACCAGGTGCGCGCCATCCCCTTGAGAATAATCATCTTTTTTCGAGCTACATCAATATTAATATATTTTTGTTTACGAAAAAGAAAGAAAAAATAAGAAACAATGC